AAGAATAGTGAAAGAAGATATGTATTATTAGGGGTATGATGGGAAGATAGTGAAATAATGTGATGGAATGAAGGATAAATCCAAAAAAAGTAGGTGTAATAGTGTATTATTTTTAAAATTATTGAGGGTATGATGGAAAGATTTAGAAATGGGAAGATATTAGTGTTACATCCAAAAAAGGAAAGTGGGAAGATATTTACGTTACGGAGGTAGTATTACGCAGATGGTTATTGTTCACGACTATCTTAATACGAACATGACAATTCACATGAAGAACTGATCATAGATCATACTCCCTCCGTCCCAATTTGTTTTGCAAAGTCAATATATATTTTTTGGTCAATCAAAATTAAAAGTTAATGCTCCTTATTGATAATTAATTTGATTTTAATAATTCAAATTTACATATTCCGAAACTACATTAAGCAAATAAAATGAAACTGTTTGACAAAAAAAAGTCAAATTTGCAAATCAATTCGGGACGGAGGTATTATATGTAATTGCTAATAACGTTAACACTTAATATGAAGCTTTATTTAGTACATACATAAGCATAGTTAGGGGCAGCCTATATTCCTGTCCACCCCAAATTTTAATTTTAATTCAATTATTAGGAAAAAATTGTTTACAAAAAGTCCTTTTTTTGTACCACCACACCCCAATATACCATTATACCCCCAATGGCCCAATATACTGCCCCCCCGCCTACGTCATTGAGTACATATTAATAATATGATAACAATATAAGATCTTTTTACATTTATACTGGATTAATGGCATAATATTCTCTTTGTTAATAAATTATACTCCCTCCGTCCCCCTAAGTTTGGGACGGAGGGGTGTGGTGTGGTTTTTAAGAAAAGTGGAATTGTGTGGTTGATATTGAATTGATAAAGTATAAATAAAGTAAGAATGAATTCTAACCACTCAAATGTTACCAAATATGGTATGGGACAAATTTAGTGGGACGGACGAAAAAGGTAAAACGGGACAAACTTAAGGGGACGGAGGGAGTAGCTTTTAATTTATGTGAGATTAAAATGTTATTAAGTAATAACATTGCAAGCTAATTAAATCATAAGATATACTGACAATCTTTTATACCGGAAGATATATCATAACTCTTCAAATAGTAAATCTCTATTTACCGCTTTAGTAATGACTTATAATTATCATATAAAACTTAATATATTTAATTTCGTGATTTGTTTATTTACAATTTCATTAATCAAACATCCTCAATTTGAATAGTTCTAATTTTATGTAATATATATGACTCATGTGATTGACTTCCTTCCATTTTGCTCTTTTCAATTATGGCATTATTATACATGTATATAATGCAATCCCGTGCAACGCACGGGTGTAGTGACTAGTATTAATCCAACAGAGTAAATTTTTAGGGAAAAAACTTGGACAACTCTCAAATCATCAAAAAAAAATCTAAACAAAGCTACCGGCTAATATATACAAGCACTCGGAGAGACCGTTGTTTCACAGCTAGCTGAAAACGTTTTATTAAATACTCCGTAATATTAATGGTGACATAAAGTATTATATTTGGCTTCCATGTTGATAATAACTCCTGAAAGCAACAAACGGCTCATGCCCATTGAAAGAAAATGAACGTTGGGCTGTTATAAATTTGGAAGTATACTTTAATGATAACTGCTAGCAGTAGAACAACCCTTAGGGCTATTTTAGTTTTATTCAACAAACCATGAAAAGTTTGTAACGTGCAAATCCAACGTTCAAAAACTGATTTTCATTGTATATAAGATGTATAAATAATTATCAATAAAATGTGTAAAAAATAGTTTAAAGAAGTAAATATTTTATTCATTTGAAATACTCACAATATTTCCAACAATCCCCCACATATTTCAAATGAATAATTTTAGAAAATTTTTGCTGGATTAAAGGAATGAGACTTTAAGTTTGGTGACCGTAGACTTGAAACCAAACTGAGATGATTAAGTCTTAATAAACCGAGCTTATGGTGAAACATATAGTTTCTTGAAATCAACAAGCTATTATTGGTAAATCAGGGTCTTAACGGCCGTGTCTCACGCCGCACCATTTCTAGTTATTACGCCGTTGTGTGCCGTAAGGCCATGCGCGTGCTTGGTTTTTATGAGTGCTATAGAAGTTTTGTCATGCTTCATGGAGGCGGCCCCACCTCACACTCATATAAGTGATATCATCAAGTGTGTACCGCTTTTGCACACCACCCTTAAATTAAGGGCTATGATAATCATTAAGAGCTTTTAGATCACCTTCTCAAAGAATGCGGTTTCTAGCCTATATCTCACATCATGGAAATGAACGATTTTAGTTAGGCTAGCAGAACTAAATGGAAGACTTGTTATTACCCATTTGAACTTGCTTCATGGGATCTCCAATCACACATATTGGGTTCCCATCATCATTTGTTTCAAAGTGACACTAGTCCCATTTCGTTAGATGTTTCGGTTATCAATTTTCGTCCTAGGGATTCTGTCAAAGGAGTAGCTAATTCCTTCTGACTTCACTAAATTAATGAAATTATTCCATTCTCAAACACCATTGCACCACTTTTAAGGGTGAATGAATATCCACTATTTTAATTTATCTCATGCGAGTCAACTCAGATGTCGTCGTTGTATCCCGGCAATACAACGGATAATTCTCAATAAGAAATAACATCAATGTGACTCTCTAGTACATTGGATAATTCTCTCTTAATAAAATATGTATCATCATTGTATCATCATAGTACAATGGATAATTTCATATATATATATATATATGACATCATTGTACCGCTCTACAATGGTTATTTCTCAGATCAATAAAATGTATCATGCATCGTTGTATTAATATATTACAACAGAAAATCTCAATCAAATATACCATTATTAATGATACCTTTCAAATATCTCAATAACCGCCTCAACGCAGTCCAATGATCCCTATTTGGGTTATCAGTATATTGGCTCAATCTTCCGACACATAAACTATGTCGGGCCTCGTATAATACATCAAGTGTAATAAACATCCAATAATTTGGGAATACTCTCATATTGAGCCTCAGGGTCACCTCTATGTTTTTTTTAAGTGTATATGAGAGTCATAAGGGATACTCATAGTGGTGACATCGAAATCTCCAAATCTCTTTAGAAGTTTTATAGCATAATGCATGCCATTATCCTTATGACTTTCATTTCCAAAATCAAATATCATCCACACATAAGCAAGTAATAATGCACACAACTTTTCACATTTAGTGCACACACACTTATCTACTTCTAGTGAGGTAAAATCATAAATAAATAACACTTCGTCAAATTTTCATTTGATCAACTTACACACTTTGTGTTTCTGACCAGTAACCACATGACCCTCTGGTTGCACCATATAAATTTCTTCCTCTAGCTCTCCATTTAAAAACACAATTTTAACATCCACTTGATGAAAAAAGTTTGTGAATAGAGTCAATTTTAGTTTGTATGGCCCCAAGAAAAAATGTTTTTTTAAATAGTTTCTAAATAAGTCAAAAATTCATCATTAATAAGATATGTTTGAAAATCATTTCCAAAAGATTTCTCTATATTTGGCTTCTTACTTCTTTTCAAAAAAGAAGATTCATCATTAAAAGAATCATTTTGTTTTAATGGATCACTATCACTAGAGAGTTCATCATTAAAGGTTTCATTTCCTTGTAATGGTTATACTCACTATATGGTGCAACGGTCTAGTGTTCAAATTTCAAAGGAAACACATTTTTTAAAAAATTCAGCATTTTTGTTTTAACAATGTATAAACATAGATAATCATACATGCATCATTTAGTGTGTACACATTCTCCAAAAACGATCACATTAATATCAACAATAATATAGCATAAAGTATTGCACATTAGCACACTAATTCTTTTATAAAAATCACATATGTGCTCCACTGTTTCAATTTATGCAAAGGTAGCCAAAAGTTATAAAGCTCATTTCCACTCAATGGGATAGGTAATAAAAATTTAGCTAAGCACCCCCACGATTTTAGATATTTAAAAATAGGTGCACAACCCTTCTAAAATTCACAGAGAACATTAAATAAAATATACTCGTCCCCTCTATCCGATCTAACTCTCTTAATTGATTTTTCTACCTTAGATTTATACACTAAAGATTTATCAAAAGCCTCACCTTTATTTGTAAGCACATAAACTCTAGTGTACTTAGAAAAATCATCTATAAAGATGACATAATATTTTTTTTACCACCTCTAGTCATTGTATTTTTTTTAAATCACCTAAATTTGTGTGAATCAAACTAAGCAATTCTGATTCCGTATATGTGGAAGGACAAGTTTTTTTTGTTAGTTTAGATTGAACACAAACATCACATTTTCTGGTGTCATTTTATTTTTACTAGAAACCAAACCACAATCATTTAGCATTTTAATAAAAGAATTAATTGCATGTTTTAATCTAACATGCCACACATCATAAGAATCAATTAAACAAACAGAACCATTATCATGCAATATTTCAGAAATACCAAGCACAAAAAGTCCATTCTTACAAAAAGACGTTAGAAAATAATATAGCTCAAGTCGCGTAAACGCTGTCCTCAAGAAAGTATTTTCGACTAGCGAAAATCTTCCCCCAAGATAAAACGAGCTCTTCGGCGTAATTAAGCCAGTAACAAAACAACGAGAATATAATAATAATAACCGAGCAGAGTAAGTTTTTAGGGAAGAGTCTTGGACAACTCTCAAATCATCAATTATCTAAGCAAAGCTACAAAATGAACGTTGAAAGCAACAAACGGCTCATGCCCATTGAAAGATAATGAACGTTGAGCTGGCTGTTATAATTTGTAAGTATACTTTAATGACAACTGCTAGCAGTAGAACAACCCTCAGGTGTATTTTAGTTCAAAAATGATTGTTGTACACACATTTGTACGCACATATGTACACACTATAAAAAGCCTTTATCTTTTTACCTTTACTTTTTTTTACCCTTTCTCTTCTCATTCCCTTCTCTCACATCCCTTCCCATACGCATCTCACCCTCATTCCTCTCCTTCTTCTTTTTCCTCCCTTCCCATTTCATTTGTTCGTTTTTTCCATCAGCCATATTGTTGCCACTGGAATCGGCGCAGGTGGTGAGGATGAAACAGTCCGCTCGAACAAGAAGTTTAGATCAACCAGCCCATAAATTGAGGTAAGCTATTCGGTTTTTCTGTATGCACTTTAGGGTTTTGTTTGTTTAAAATTTCTAATTGTTTGTATGGTATAACAATGAGTAGTTGAATATTTTGTATTATTGTGATAGAATGTGGGGTTAATAATTGAAATTTTAATTCAATTATTGTATTTCACATTTATGCTCATAACATGTTTGTTGAAATGTCTCAATGATTTTTTTTGGTTAAATCTAAAACTTTTACTCTCCTTTTTTGTTTTTCTTTTGACTTGATCTTTTTTTTTCCAACACACTGGTCCGTTTTTGTTAACTAGTTCAAAATCTAATTTTCTTGTTTCCCATAAGGGTATATCAATTTCATATACATTTTTGGCTTTTAACTTGATGTTTTCATCAAAAGAGTTCATTCTTTTCACTTGTGTTCAAATGTGGAAATGGTTTGATTATTATAATTGTATATGTTTACCAAGTATATTGTTAAATCATGGTATTCTATAGCTACTGATATCCGCTATTTTTGCTTTGATGAGTTAATACTTAAGCTTCAATCTTTCTACCACATTGCTCTCTTTTCGTGCTTAAAATGCTGCTATTATCACTATTTCATTAATTTCATATCATTTTCCAATTGTTTGATATCATTTTAGGCGGTCAACTGTTATGATACAGATATTCTAGTATTTTACCAACTTAGTTGTTAATATAGTTTTAAGTTTCAATCCTAAAATTTGCATTTCTTATATTCTATCAACTGTTTATAGCATGGCAGGTGTGGGAATTGGATATTACATGAGTTTTTAAGTCACAACTATCATAATCCTTGTTTAAGAATTGGAAAATTATCCATTGTGTTGGATAAAATTTATTTTCTTTTTCAATTCTTTTAAATAGCCTTACAATTCTCCAATTTCTATTTTCACTTTCAATCATCTAAACTCTATTTATGTTTTTATTTGCTAATTTCCATTCTATAAACTAATTCTTCATGAAATTAAAAATCGTATAAAACACTTGAGGTTAGTATGGCTAGTTGTCAATACATTGTTTCTTTTTAGGTTGCTAGCTATAACTTGTTTGATTTGTTATAATTATTACTACTCACATAATTGTGTTTACATGATTGACTATATGCATCACAGTTGGGAGGAGTCAAATGCAAATGTTAATGAAGTCATTTCCCTTTCTAAAGAGCTTCCTTACAATTTGTTCAGGAAGAGGTGGCCGAAGGACGACATTACATATGTTGTTTATATATTAGTTCTTGTAATAGTCACTTTGTAAAGTAATGTTCTTGTATTCAGTATGTAAGTGTATTTAGAATGTAAAATTGAAGTATCCTAGAATGTACTACCCAAATGTTACCTAGAAAATAATTGTCTGCGTGTTCGTTTATATCGTCTGAGAATGGTGAAAACATTGTCTGTGTGTTCGTTTATTTTGTTTGTGCATTGAAAATAATATCTATATGTTCGTTTATATTGTTTGTGCATGGTTAAAACATTATTTGTATATTCATTTATGTTATCTGTGCGCAAAAAGTAATGTCTGTGTGTACATTTATTTTGTCTGTGCGATTGTGCATAGTCGAACCATCCTCTATATCTTGTGAATGGTTAAAGCAGTTTTTGTTTATTCACTTACTTTGTCTGTGAGAATTTATTTTGTCTATACGTAGACAACTTACCTATAACAAGTTACCAAAATGAGTATAGATAACAATTTAGTTTTTCAATTAACTTACAACATGTATTAATCAGAGAACTTCAATTCCTTCCACAAAATCCAAAATTGCTTTCTTAATACAAAAGATATACTTTGAAAATACAAACAACTCTCATTACATTATCATTGTAAATACAAGAAGATTAACTTTACAATATAACTAATTGTAAGAATGAAGTATTCGGCTATTCATTGCTTAAATCTCTCATTCTTGACTTTCTGGATCCATTGTATGTCATAATTTGCTTTATCACATGCCTTGATCAAACATATACAGAAGGAGACTTATCATCTTCGTTATGGAGGCTCATCATAACAAGAAACCAAAATTCTTGTTATTCCCAAGAACTAATTGATGAGCTTCCTATACATCTTAAACTATAGTTGAAATTGTATTCCACCAACAGTAGTTCTTGTAAATAAGTGACTGCCTTAGTTCGTTATTATATTACACATTAGTCATTTAAATTTAAGTGACTGCACTAGTCTGGCATTTCAAAATACAAAAAAAAAAACCAAAAACTACTGTTGGTGGAATACAATTTCAACTATAGTCTATGTCATTATGAATTTGGAGTGTTGCATTATATCATGCTTCTTCCCTACAGTCCTTGATGCATTTAGAAAACCTAGTAATATAGGCAAATATTTTCTTCTGAACAATTCCATAAATAACACAACATACTAAAAAATCATTCAAAAAACTAGTTAAACTTAACTTAAAATGACAAAATTTCTCTTGAATATCACTTTGTACGTTTGTAGTGTGAAGGGATTCAGCATGACAGGAACAACACTACGAATTATCTCCCATTAAGCAACATTGTTTTACAAAATTCATTATGCATATCACATTAACAGAGAAGGAGAAGGAAAAATTACATTGAAACAATGCATTCTTTTTACATAGAAAAAATACAATTTTCATCATAACAAACAAAACAAGACAACCACATGTAAAATTTGCAACTTTAGGAAATTAACTTTCAATATGGATCATCCGATTCTCAACAATAAGGCACTAAACTTGTGAGGGATACAATAACCACTAAGCATATGGATGGACTATAATCACTATATTAAGCATCTCCGAAAAACCTCTACTTGTAACAGTTATTTTAGCGGACACCGTTTGTATGAGTCTCACCAACATCTTACACTATAATTTAAATTTGGGAATAAAAAACTAGCATTATGTTAAAAAAAGATTAAATTCACTAAAGTTTGATAATGGAATAACTTTATCTAAATTACAAGTACAAAACTGAAATCTAAAACTAAATTTAAATGTTACCCTTCTGGTGGATATCTCTTACTGCAGGTAGAGCCTCCTAGATCAATTTTTAGGACCAAAAAAATTGAATTTTATAAATGCAAAAAATTACTTGTACGCATGGGGTAGTTTAATTTGTAGAACAAAATGGAATTAACCAAATAATGTTAAGAAGGTTCTTCACAGAGACAAAGCATTAACTGAGAGTTTGAAAAAAATAAGCAATTTACTAAATCCCTTTCCCCCAACTCCCCTCACGCACAAACTAACATACGAAAAATGACTATATGTACGCACCCATGTAATTGAGAATCTAGTCCAGAAGCTGCTACAATTGTGACCTTATTGATTGGAAATTCTTGTTCGAGTGGCATAAATCGACTGTCATCCTCATCGTCTGCGTTGATTCTTGCTGCAACCACACAGTTCGCGTTGGACTTGAACTTGAAGGCGGATTCGATTATGAAGGTGGAGAAAAGGAAGATAGACCGAAACGAAAAAGGGAAAGGAGAAAAGAAAACAAAAGTTTATCTGGGAGGCTTTTGGTGCAAAGGGGGAGACGAACTATGAAGAGAGAGGAAGGAAGGGCGGATGGTGAGATGGTTAATTTGAGGGAAAGGGGTAATTTTTTGGGTATATATAGTGTGTACAAAAGTGTGTATATATGTGTGTACAAATAGCAAAATTGATTTTAGTTTTAATCAACAAACCATGAAAGTTTGTAACGTGCAAATCCAACGTTCAAACACTGATTTTAATTATATATAAGATGTATAAATAATTATCAATAAACTAATGTGTGAAAAAACAATTTAAAGAGGTAATATTTTATTCATTTGAAATACTCACAATATTTCCTACATAATGAGATCTCATAGATTAAGTTTTCAACCTCTTTGCCACTTTATTGGTGTAGTTGTAATTATCCCAATAAACTCAATTTCCATTGTTGAGCTTCTAATCCAAATTTTCTTTTTGGTGCAGAGGAAGTGACACCTCCATGAGCAAGCATATTCAACGACTTAAAGAAGAATGATCCTTTGCATTGGATATCTGGATTGCATCACAACATTCTTCTAACATCGAGGGACACCCAAGTAACATCGAGGGATACTCTTTGAATTGCTTGTCAATATTGTGCATGTACTCCAACTACAAGTTTAGTGACTGAACCTACTCACAATATAAGAAGCAATATGGGCCCGGCGAACATCAAACAATTGAGCAGTTAAGAATATTCTAATTGTGTTATTTTCATTCCTTTATTGACATTAACTTCACACTAGGATCCATGCATGAGAGTGTGAGCGAAGAATGATCATTTTAATTAAACTTTTTGAGAATTTTAAACATATTGAGTTTGTGTCAAAACAGTTCCTTTGTTTGCCCGTTTAGTCCTTGTCCCAACAATTACATTCGCCTCCCTCACGTGTTTGATGGAAATACTTTGAAAAAAAACAACTTCTTCGTTTTATCAATCTAATAGTTCCAAAAAGTAACATGTCATCAACAAAGAGACGTAAACATAGATGCACATAGAGCATCAAACTGACTATATACGCATTTGTCGATTGGTTTAAGTTAAAAACACTAGACAAAACAACTCTTTGATTAGTTTAGTTTCACTAAAATTGACTGAATCGTCCTATTTTACTGAAATTTATGATAATCTTTGTGCTGTAGAGGCTGCATTGGTTGATTTTGCAAAGTTATGAAAAGTTATACTTACATTATATAAAGAAAATATATACATGAGAAATATCTAAATTGGTTTTCTACAATAACTTTATGCAGTCCATCAAAAAAAAGTAACTTCAATCTTAATTATTTGGATTTTTACAAAACTCAGTGCATGGAATCAAAAGTTACGTGTTTGGTGAAAAAGTTGATTGATGAGGCTGATAAACCGAAAACATAATCACCAAACGGGTTATTAGTTTAATTTTGTTTTGCCATTAATTACTTTAGCTTAAGTTTCGGTTTAGCTTTGATTAATTTGTGTAGTTTCCACAATATTCTATGTAAATGATTAGTTTAGGGCTATTAACCCTAAATAGGAGTAGATAAAAGCAAAATTGCAAAATGGTCTGAGGTCTGCGAGCGTTGCGTGATAGAGAGCCGGCCCTAGGGAAACCCTAGGCGGCCATCACCAGCCCCCTTCAAGATCCGATTTGGGAAGATGAAGACATTCTCTTTGCAATGAAAGATCGAATCAAAGGTTTTTCTATGCTTTCGCTCTTTTTCAATTTCTGTTTTCAAGGAATTTGGTCCGGCTTCTTCATTGGCCGAGAATTTTGTCCGCTTTATGTGAGCGTGTGGTATGTTATTTTCCTAGCAATGTCTAGAGGCTGTGCGTTTCTAATCGATGTAATCGATCTGGTGAAGTTTTTCAACCTTGTTGTTCTGATGTTTCAAATACTCACCCACCACGTTGTGAGTTGGTATTGGTCCACCTCTGTTGTACTTGGCTCGCCTCATTAATATGTTGGTCTCCTAATTAATGAGTCTGGCCCAACTCCTTTGCCTACCCGACCAAGCCCATTCGTCTCCCCTTGTCTTTATCCAGCCCATGACTCATTGTGGCCCTTCTCTTATATTGTCCCGTTCCTTCTGGAATTTCCTATTTGTGCGACCCTTCCCTCTCTCTTAGTGATGAGAAGCCTAGACTGTTACCCTAGTTCTAGAGTGAGAGAGTGCCGGTTGAACTGTAGGCTTAGCTCCGGCTATCCTCCGGTGAGACCCTTGGGGTTCCCTTCTGTGGGCTTCACTCTGAGCTGGTATTTGGGGGTTCTTCTCCGGTGGGTTCTCTGGGGTCTGGTCTGGGGGGTTTTGGGCTCCAAAACTGAGTGTTTGAGACTGTTGCCCTTTCGGTTTCCCTTGTTGACTCCTTGGTGGTGAATGGTGAGCTAGCCCTTGGGGCTATGGTGATTGAGGTCTGAGCCGGTCCAGTAACTCTACAGTGGTATCAGAGCTTGGACGCCGCCTCTCACTGACGCCGGGAACTCGCCGGAGACAGGGACCATCCAAACCGGTAACGCCAGGTGCTCCGTCGGAGATTGGTAAGTCGGGTGTCGTCTCAGTGACACCCGCTCAGGTATAAGTCTGAAACCCTAACCTCTGGGCTGCCGGAGTGCCACCGGCCTCTGTGTTGCATGGGTGGACTTGTAACCCTAGGTTATAAATCTGCCGAGTAGAAACCCTAGAACAACCCTTGCATGTACAGTATCTGTTAGCACAGATCTGTAGAAACCCTAGGTGTAATTCGGTTGTGCATGAGTGGACCAATCTGTGTCGAACTTGGCCACTGATTATCTGTGGATTCTGATTGGCATATTAATCTGACTCCTTGTGTGTCTTAGTCATTGATATGCCACCCTTGTGTGTTTACCTCTGAACTCTTCCTAGCATTATTGTACTCTGCTCTTTACTGTTGTATTGCCTGTTTAATCTCTGCTCAGTCTGTTTGGCTCTACTCTCTAGTCTGAGTTCTGGTAATTGTGTAGCTTTGAACCCCTAGTTGGCTAAGGCACCTGAGGTTAGGGCTAAGGGATACCCTGCCAGCCACTTCAGTGGCCCCGGAACTGCGTGGTCTCTTAGTCCGCAGCCTGATCCTCTAGGGTTAAGCTTTTATATTACCTGAATTTCAGTTGTTGAGTGTAATCTGTTACCATGGCTTCTAACCTATATGGAATGATGCCTTTTAATGGTAAAACTGACTTTGATATATGGAAACAAAAGATTAAATGTGTGTTAATTCAACAAAAAGTGTTCAGAGCTGTTACTAATCAATACTTAGAAACTGAGGATAAACCTAAACAAGTTGAGATGAATGAGACAGCCTGTTCAACAATATACTTGAACCTGTCTGACTCTGTCCTTAGAAAGGTTGGAGTCATTGAGTCTGCTAAGGCCCTCTGGGATAAATTAGAATCTCTATATACGGATACTTCCCTCCCTGGTAAACTGTTTTTGTTGGAAAAGTTTTTTAGGTTCAGACTTGACCTAACAAAAGATATTGATGAAAACCTTGATGTTTTTAATAAACTAATCCAAAACATTAAGCAAGCTGGGGATAAACATATAGATGATTACACTGCAATAGTTTTGCTAAATGCCATACCTGATTCCTATAATGATGTTAAGTCAGCCATTAAGTATGGGAGGGATGATATTACCCTAGATATTGTTATTAATGGTCTGAGAAGTAAAGAATTGGACTTAAAACATTCTAGAAGTCATCATAGGGAATCTGGGGAAGCTCTGCTTGTTAGAGGAAGGTCTAAAAGCAGGTCTAGGCATCCTAAGAAGGATAATCATGACAAAGGAAATAAGCAAACTGGAAAGAAGAGGTTTAAGTCTAGAAAAAGGGTTTGTTACAACTGTGGTAACCCAGGACATTACATAAAAGACTGTACCCAACCTAAAAAGAATGACCAGGCTAATGTTGTGACCAATAAGGATGTAGAAGATGATGTCTTTATGGTCTGTGATGAAGCCAATTCTGTGCTTAGTAGTTTGACTGAAACTGAATGGTTAATAGACTCAGGTTGTACCTACCATATGACTCCTTTTAGAAATCTGTTTTCATCCTATAGCTTATGTGACACTGGTTTTGTTTCCTTAGCTGATAGTAAAAGGTGTAAGGTCCTTGGTATTGGTAACATCTGTCTAAAATTTGAAAATGGAACTGTCTTTCAAATAAAAAATGTTAGACATGTACCTGATTTAAGACACAACCTGTTTTCAGTATCTGCTTTTGAAGAAGGTGGTCTTGAGGGTAAATGGGGAAATGGGTGTATGAAAATCTTAAAAAACTCCCTTGTTTTGTTCAAAGCTTTGAAACAGAACAATCTGTATGTTGTCCATGCTAAACCTTTTTCTGAAAATGCTAATGCTGTACTTAATGACAAGTCTGTGCTTTGGCACCAACGACTTGGTCATATGAGTAATAAAGGATTAAACATTTTGCATAAAAATGGGTGTTTTGGAACTGACTTGGTGTCACCTATACCATTCTGTGAAGGTTGTGTTCTAGGTAAACAACATAGGGTTCAATTTCCTGTCTCTAGCTATCCTAGTGAACCTAAGTCCAAAACTGTCCTTGACTACATACATGCTGATGTGTGGGGTCCTTCCAGTGTCCCTACCCATGGGGGTAGGAGGTATTTCTTGTCTATAATTGATGACTTTTCTAGAAAAGTCTGGGTTTGTTTGTTAGAACATAAATCTGATGTGTACATTAAGTTTAAAGAATGGAAAATTATGATAGAAAACCAAACTGGATGTAAGGTTAAAACCCTTAGAACTGACAATGGCTTAGAATTTTGCAATAATGACATGGATAAGTTGTGTATTGAAAATGGGATTAGGAGACACAAAACTGTGCCCTATACTCCCCAGCAAAATGGTTTGGCTGAGAGAATGAATAGGACCCTCCTTGATAAGGTTAGAAGTATGCTTGCTACTTCTGGTCTCCCCAAGAAGTTTTGGGGAGAAGCTGTGAACACTGCTGTCTATTTAATCAATAGATCCCCTTCTGTGCCTTTAGGGGGTAAAACCCCTGAATCTGTTTTCTCTAGAAAGCCCATTGATCTGTCAAACTTAAAAATTTTTGGGTGTGCTGCCTTTGTGCACCAACAAACTGACAAACTTGATCCTAGGTCTAAAAAGTGTGTTTTCCTAGGTTACCCTGAAGGTGTAAAAGGCTATAGGGTATGGGATAGAAATCAACCTGGTTTTAAAGTCATTATAAGCAGAAATGTTGTGTTCAATGAAATTGATTTTCCCTGCTTAGTTAAGACTGTGACTGACCATCAAACTGAACCTGATGGCACCCCTCCAAGTGAGGTGGAGCCTATCCGACCTGCTCCCACCCCTCTGTTTAATGAATCTGAGCCTCAAGATAATTCTGACCTTACCAACACTATGCATGATGCCCACTCTACCCACAGTGAGGTGGAGCAGCACACTGATTCAAACAATAGTGAGACTATGCATGAAGTGTTTACTGAAAATGAGTCTGTTGATAACTCTCATGATATTGAGGATCAAGGTCTAGAAGGATATCAACTGGCTAGAGATAGAGTTAGGAGAAATATAAGGAAAATTTCTGATAGCATGACTGATTATGCTTTTCATCTCTATGATACTTCCTTGTTTGCCTTCTCTGTTTTTGAAACTCTTGATTTGAATGAACCTAAAACCTATCAGGAAGCCCTTGCCTCTAAAGAATCTAAAAATTGGCTTAGTGCTATGCGAAGTGAAATAGATTCCCTTAAGTTGAATAAAACTTGGACCCTAGTCCCTAGGGCTCCTAATTGTTCTGTTGTTGAGTGCAAATGGCTTTTCAAAGTTAAGGAGGAACCTAATGATATTAGGTTTAAGGCTAGGTTAGTTGCCAAAGGTTTCACTCAAAAAGAAGGGGTAGATTATGCTGAAATTTTTGCTCCTGTAGTGAAGTTTACTACAATTAGGTTGATGCTTGCTCTAGTTGCCCATAATGACTGGGAAATGAAGCAGATGGATGTTACCACTGCCTTTTTGCATGGTGAACTTGATAAGCAGATTTTTATGACCCAACCTGAGGGTTTTGTTGACCCTAAGTACCCTAGACATGTCTGTCTGCTTAGGAAGGCCCTCTATGGCCTAAAACAATCACCTAGACAGTGGAACATTAAATTTGACAAATGCATGACTTCCTTGAGTTTCAAAAGGTCTGATTCTGACCCTTGCATGTATTTTAAGAATACTGACTCTGTACTTGTTTTCTTGTTGATCTATGTGGATGATATGCTCATTATTAGCCCCTCAGTGAATGCAATTAAGAATGTTCAAAAGTGTCTATGTGAGAATTTTGCTATGAAGGACCTAGGAGATGCTAAGAGAATCTTAGGGATTGATATCATTAGGGATAGGAGTAGATGTACCCTTACCCTTAATCAGGTCTCCTACCTTGATAAGGTTCTGAAAAAATTTAACATGAATTCTGCCCTACCTGTTAATGTGCCTCTAGCTCCTCATTTTGTCCTAAGTAAGGATCAGTCTCCTAAGACTGGCCCTGAAACCGATATGATGAAGTCTGTACCCTATTCCAATGCAATAGGGTCGGTTATGTATCTCATGGTAAGCACCAGGCCTGATATTGCCTATGCAGTCAGCTGCTTAAGCAGATATATGGCCAACCCTGGGATGCCTCATTGGAATGCCCTGAAATGGTTGCTTAGGTACCTTAAGGGTACCACCTCTCATGGTCTTGTGTTTTCTAAATCTGATTCTGGTATTTGTCTTACTGGCTATGTTGATTCCAATTATGCAAATGATAGGGATAATAGGAAGTCTACTACTTCTTATATTTTTACTTTGTGTGGTTCTTGCATAAGTTGGAAATCCCAACTTCAGCCTATTGTTGCACTTTCTACTACTGAATCTGAATACGTTGCAGCAACTGAGGCCTTTAAAGAGGCTATCTGGCTGAAACGTATTCTATCTGAAATTGGTTTTCTTAGACAGGTTGTAACTGTGTACTCTGACAGCCAGTCTGCTATACAATTATGCAAAAACCCAGTATTTCATGACAGGACCAAGCACATTGATGTCAGGTTCCACTTCATCAGGGACATTGTCGATAAAGGAGGGATTAAGCTATGCAAAATAGCTTCTGAATTCAACCCTGCTGATATGGGGACTAAATGTCTCACTTTTGAAAAACTGTTTTCTTGTAAACGTATTCTTAATTTAGATTGTGGCTGATAAGAACAGATTAAAACAAGAAAAACCGGCAATGATGATACTCCCATTCACATTTTGCTCTACACCACCATGGGGACCAATAAGGTGGAGATTGTGAGTTGGTATTGGTCCACCTCTGTTGTACTTGGCTCGCCTCATTAATATGTTGGTCTCCTAATTAATGAGTCTGGCCCAACTCCTTTGCCTACCCGACCAAGCCCATTCGTCTCCCCTTGTCTTTATCCAGCCCATGACTCATTGTGGCCCTTCTCTTATATTGTCCCGTTCCTTCTGGAATTTCCTATTTGTGCGACCCTTCCCTCTCTCTTAGTGATGAGAAGCCTAGACTGTTACCCTAGTTCTAGAGTGAGAGAGTGCCGGTTGAACTGTAGGCTTAGCTCCGGCTATCCTCCGGTGAGACCCTTGGGGTTCCCTTCTGTGGGCTTCACTCTGAGCTGGTATTTGGGGGTTCTTCTCCGGTGGGTTCTCTGGGGTCTGGTCTGGGGGGTTTTGGGCTCCAAAACTGAGTGTTTGAGACTGTTGCCCTTTCGGTTTCCCTTGTTGACTCCTTGGTGGTGAATGGTGAGCTAGCCCTTGGGGCTATGGTGATTGAGGTCTGAGCCGGTCCAGTAACTCTACACACGTGAACCACCGCCTCACTCTGGGAAGAAGAAGATGATCAAACGGATCTCCTTTTCGGTGGCTGGTCAAACCGATGCTTCAAGAAATTTCTCTACTGATTTCCCTTTTCCGGTGACTGGTGAAACCAGATCTTTTAGTTATATTTTTTAATTTCTCTTTGTAGCAGCAACAACATAACCAAGACTGAGCATGTATTTATCCCGTTCTGATCGGTGGTGAACACAGCCTCTCACTTGACCGCCCCCCACGATTTCTTTTACTCCAGCGCATCGAACCCAGGAGGTTCTCTCGATTTTGATGGGTTCCCCTTGTGTCCTTTATAATTCTGCTTTCCACACTTGGCTGAGTTTTTGTTTCACTCCTCGCCAGAGTTCGATCTCCAGGTTAGCCGTTTACTCCTTACCATCTATTTGGTGAATGTTTTTCTTGTGTTTACTGTCCTACTGAACATTGTTGTGGGTATTGTTTGTGAAACGTAAATATTCTTCCCGTTTTAAGATTTAGTAACGGTGATATATGAAATTTGGTAAGAGCAATTCACTTCCACCTCCCTATATGAAATCGGGTAAGAACAAGTCTCAAATAAAGTTCTATAATGGTATTGAGGGTTCAAATGAAGTTATATTAGACCCAACGCTTCCACAATCGTACTTAACTCATAGGGGCATGAAATAGTTTTTAGAACTGACATGAAGATGTGTTTCTAAATAATATGAGTATAAGTTTACAAAAGGATTATATCAAATTTACTCAAATGAATGCTCTTTGGTCATAAGTCTACCTAATAAGTAGACTCTGGGTCATAGATGAGGGGTAAAATGTCTTTAGCTAAATGCAAAAAATTTCCAGATTTATACTTCAATTCCCCTTTAGTTGCACACACATGTTGTATGAATCTCAAAACACTATTTATGTAAAGTGAAGTCCTTTCTGCAATTTGTATTTTTAATGTGAAGCCATTGAAATAAATGTAAGAAGTTGTCACCCAATAATCTGTCTAAGAGACTTTTTCGACAATGTGAGCTAACCCCAAAAACTCATCCTTTCTTCTCTTGAAAAGTAAATGAAATACTCGTACAATTCATTTTATTAGAATAATGTAGGAGAACTCAAAATTTGTGGAAATGGAACTTATACTAAAAAAGTCAAGTGACAAGATTACTCTTACTTCGCATCATACTTTCTGCTGAAGAAGAATCGTGTACTATGTAACAGATTAACATTGAACAAACAAAAAAGTTAACCGAAAAATTAAGCTCAAGGAAATCAAGACTTGCTTGTTCATTGTCCCTTTTAAAATGCATGTGATATGAAGTATATATATTAATCTAAGATTGTTAGCTAAGGTCTTGTTTATTTACTCTTCTATGATGCTAATAAAGAGTTTTTTTTAATTGTTTCACTTTTTTGTTTATGGATGGTAAATTCATTCACAAATTTGACCACAAAGACTTTTGTGTGAAGGGTAATATGAAGTATATAATGTGTGTATACTAAACTTTTAATGACCAGTCCATGTTATGTATTTCAGTTGTAAATGTGATGTACTACTCTAAATAATTTTTTAAAACATATATAGGGGGGTATCATATCATTTTTAGATGCGGCCTTTACCCCTTTAACTATCATGTTTGGTCCTTTTCTAACAATATTAGGCTAGAGAAATATATTCAAATTCATATTACTTTTTACTTCGAAACTGCCATTATGACTTTATTTGGCTCTCTATTTTTGTGAGAGATGAAATGTTAGGGTTGCCTAAAAATCAAATTTTTAAGGAAAAACTGTCAAATAAGTTCTCGAACTTTCATAAAAAGGTCAATTAAGTCCTTCGATAGGAGGTTCTGTCATGCCGTCGCGATTTGGGGCAGTTCCCGGTGGAATTTTTTGATGAAATTTTTTGAGCATCTTATTCACCAAGTCTAGTATACTCATACCAAATTTCAGCTAAAAATTCAATCGGGAACACATTCAAATTAATTCTTGAAGATAACTACGCATTTGTGCGTTCTCGAATTAATTTGAATGCGCTCTCGATTAAATTTTTAGCTGAAATTTGGTATGAATAAACTAGACTTGATGACTAAGATGCTCAAAAATTTTCATCGAAGAATTCCACCGGGAACCGCACCAAATCGCGACGACCGGACAGAGTCTCCTATAGAAGGACTTAATTGACTTTTTTATGAAAGTTCGAGGACCTATTTGACAGTTTTCTCAATTTTTAACCTCTAAAGTTAAGGCGTCTTTTCAAATGACAAAACCAAGGTATTTCAGCATGAAAGTTTTAAAATTTAAGGTTGTAGAAGCACAAAGTCATGGTTTGAAAGTTTAACTCCGATGACCTGAAGTTGAAATGAAATAGGTCAGTAGTAGTTATATTAGCTCCAAGACTTACAAAATTATACAAGTATTAGCTTAAGCTTACAGAAAGAGTCATAAAGCCATGTCTAAATAGGGGGTGATGAAGTGAATGTCCCGTGGCGTTGGCACTGAGCTACCTACTATGTACGCGCGGATGGGAGCGAGGGCATGTGACTGCACAAGTGGAGAGGCACTGGACTGGAAGTGTGATGTTATTTTTAACAATTATAGGTTGATTGCACCCAATGTAAGATTAGGATAGGTCAAGACTAGAATAATTGTGAGTGGGAAATAAGAGTATTTGTGAAATAAAGGTATTTGGATTAACTTTTGCCCCAACTGTACAAGTGATTGCATCACATTGAAATACACACTCTTACTCCCTAATCTAAATACGTTATTATGTACATACGTTTGGGTCTAATTTAAGTTATCATATCAAGAAAAATTATGGAAGATGATATATTTACATGTAAAGGAAATATTTCTCTTCCACAAATTGAACCCTTTTTGCTTACTTGTTTCTTAAAGATTTCACCTAATAGACTTCGATCTACCTCTATCAGAAATATATACTTTGTGAAAACGTTTTTTAAAACAAATAATGTTGAGCATTTGTTTAGTCGCGGAACACACTTGTCAAAACAAGTAGTTTCATAAGTGCCGATATGCGTATAGTTTCATATGTGCCGATATGCGTAAGCCTTACTCCTCAAGGTAGAATGAATATAGAAAATGTCCTTAACAATTTAGGTAACAACATGATATTTGGTTCAGTGGATGATTTTCATGCTGAACGTCACTTTTTCCCGTTTTGGAGCACCATCAAACTTATGTTTAAAAAACAGACCTGACCCAGAACCCGGTGACCCGGACCGTAACCTGGTATGGTATGGTTAATTACAAACCCGGAAATGATCAAAACCCGGAAAACCCTAGTCGACCCGGCAAAACCCAGTCCAAACCCGGACCCAGAAAACCGATATACTCGGGAAAACTCAGTTTGGTTGTTTTTCCATTTTTTTTAAATTTTAAAGCATTTTAACCAATAAAATTGCAATTTTAATACCCCAAAAAGAATATATTAATATATTTTAATAAGATCAAAATGGTATTTTGGAATATTATGAATTTTTTTAACTTTTAAGTGTTAAGTAAGTATTATTATTAGTTGATTATTATGAAAGAACTACTTTTTATTTTAATTTTGTATACAATTATATGTTTATTATTGTGTAATGGTTGACCGGTTTTATAGCATTGACCGGGTTCACCTGACTGGGTCCGGGTTGACCCGTGACCCGGTTACTAGGGTGGGTCGCTTCCCGATCCGGTTTCCTAATCATAACATCAAACTAGATTGTTATGAGTTTAATACACCAACCCCATTATAATATATAAATTTAGCGCACTAGCGCCTGTCATTTAAAAAAGTGTCAAACACCCTTTGTTATAAATATTGATGCGCAAAACCCCTCTAAGAACAAATGTTGATATTTTGAAATGCCTTTTTTTAATAATATGCTTGAATATGCAAGTCACTTTGTCAAGATTTCTAAATAATACAAAAATATTAATTATTTTTCATTCAGTTAGCAATTAAATTTGTTCATATAAGGGCTTTTGCACATGAATAACTACAACATAGGAGCGATTTGATGCAGTTTTTAAATCACAAGGACTAAAGCGCTGAATTTATATTTTACGAGAGGGGTTGGTACATTAACTCTTATTTACTCCGTAAAAAAAAAGGAAAAATGTGATATTTATATTATAAAATTTCAAAATTTTTTACCACAAATTTCACAAACTTTTCCTCACAATCCACCGCCTATCTTCTTATGTAGTTATGTGATTCCATTACAGGCATCGATGGAACTTGGAAGACATTATCGTTATCATAGGGCCGTCTTTTAGCATGTTAATTAGGTTCAACACAACAGGGCCCACTTCTCATGGGGCCCCATATCTATAGGGCACTATTAGTATTATTTTTAGGTCACTAACATCCATTAATTAATTATATAATATAATAATAATAATAATAATAATAATAATAATAATAATATAATATTATAGTGTATCGTATATGAATATGAGCTGCTGTTAAATTCATACTCCACTACCGTATAATAATGCCCTCATAAATTGTGTATTTTTTTTATTTGCAATATTTAATGAGTAATCAATTGCTTTGAGTGTAATACGAATTTAGATTGAAAACGCCTTTAATAAAACTTTTTCAAGCGGACGTCTCCCTAGGATCTCTAGGGTTAGTTTGTCACTGCGCCGCCGTCTACCTCGATCGAGAGGGGAGGATTCACGACAGTGTTTCTACGGCTATCAGTCGGTGAGGGGAGGGCTTTGCCTCGGTGAGTTCTTCGGGTAGGGGGTTCGGCGAAGGAAGGGAAGCAGAGCCTCGCTTCAGTTTTTGCTCGGCTTTGTTCGAACAGAGCCTGGATTTCGAAGTTTGGTCACGAGTGGTGCTGTTGAAGAAGTCATGAGCATCGTTACCTGGGTCATAAGGGGCCTCGACGTTTCTGCTACTAAACAGTGTTTAACCGGGATCATGAGGGGGTGAATGATTTGGGATCGGAGAATTTTAGGGCCAGTGGGGGTGATCCCGTACGGGCGAAAGAAGATGAAGAGATGTTGATTCGTCCCCCTCCTGAACCGCCGCCACGGGGAATCGCGAGACTAGGGTTTGGAAGGCTATCTCTATTTTTGTTTTAGTTTGCTTGTGTTTTTACTTTGATTGTCATCTTGTTTTGTTTGTTACATACGTTTATTTCTGTCAGACTCTTACATTAGGTAGGAGTGATGAGGGTTTTGCTCTGATCACGTTTGGCTCATTTAGACCCATTACAGGACAAGCGAACCATATTGCTCTGTCTAGGATGATTGGTTCTCAAGCTCGTTCGAGGGTTAGTGGCTTGAAGTGTTTCCTTTATCTCTTTTGTTTCATGCTGAATGTTTTATTATCAATATATGCCCCTTGTTACAAAAAAAGAATTTAGATTGAGAATATTTTTTAGTTTTTTACATTAAAAGGGGCCTCAAATTTGTATTTTGAGAAGGGACCTCCAAGTCCATTAGACGGCCATGGTTATCAAGAGTTTATAGGTTATGATCAATCCATCTCGAGGAGAGTTAGCAAGAATCATAAGTAAAACTTTGATAACCGCAACGAAACAAGTCGCCCCAAGTCAGACATGGAAATGGACGCCGTCACTGGAGCAAGCTTTGCACCGCCTTGGATGTCGGCAATTACTCAGTCCAACACTAGTTGCCCGTGTAATCGACCCACACCTCCTCCATCACCACTCTATTGCTTTGGGCTTCTTCGACTGGTCCTCTCAGCAACCTGGATTTTCTCACAACTCATTATCCTATCAGTCAATTATCAAGGCCCTCTCCCATTCCCGCAACTTCATTGCCGTAGAAAGGATCTTGAAGCAGAGCAAATCCCAGAAGCTCATCCTTCCACCTTATGTTTATCGAGCTGTCATTGCTTCTCAGATCAGTAGTAAGAAAACTCAAGTCGCATTTTCTACTTTCAAAGAGGTCAGTTCAGTATTATCGGAAATCGGACCCCAAACTTGCAATTCGCTTCTTGCCGCTTTATCCTCTGAAGGTGATCTTTGTGGCGCCCAAAATGTGTTCGATGAAATGAATCTGAGAGGTGTTCAATTGAACACACTTGGTTTTGGTGTGTTCGTGTGGAATTTCTGTCGCTATAAAGGACTGGAAATGACTTTGAATGTGCTAGAGGAAGTCCGGAAAATCGATTTTTCGGGAATTATAGGGTCCATTATTGCTGTTTTAGTTATGCATGGGTTGTGTTCTTCTTCTTTCGTCTCAGAGTCCGTTGTGGCTTTGGATGAGTTGAGGAAAAGAGACTGCAAACCTGATTTTATAGCATACAGAGTTGTTTCAGAAGCATTGAGAGGAATGGGAAATGTGGTCGATGTAGAGATGGTTTTGAAGAAAAAAAGAAAGCTGGGAGTTGCACCAAGATCCAATGATTATAAAGAATTCGTTTTTAGCTTGATTTCAGAAAGACTAATATCAGAAGCGAAAGAGTTGGGAGAAGTAATCATGAATGGGAATTTCCCCATGGATGATTATCTACTCAATGTGCTGATTGGATCTGTTTCGGCTGTTGATCCTCATTCCTCCATGTTATTCTTCAATTTCATGGTTGACAAAGACGTATTTCCCACCCTTCTTACTTTGAACAATTTGGGTAGGAACCTTTGCAAGCAAGGTAAAGTTGAAATGTTAGTTGAGGTTTTTCAGAAGTTGTCTGCTAGAGCATATTTTAGAGATCAACAAAGTTATAAAGTGATGATCACACTTTTTTGCGAGGCGGGTCAAGTAAAGGAAGCTTATGATCTTCTTTGTGAGATGAAAAGAAAAGGTTTTGATCTTGACATATCATCTTACAATTCACTTCTACAAGCCTGCTGTAGTGAAGATTTAGTGCGGCCCGCCAAACGGCTATGGGATGAAATGTTTGCAAATGGTTGCCCTGGCAATATAAAGACATACAACATCCTTATCCAGAAGTTTACAGAAGTTGGTGAAGCTGAAGAAGCTTACAGGCTGTTTCAGCATATGTCTGAAAAAGGGGTAGCACCTGATGAAACAACTTACAAATCCATTCTTAAAGGATTATGTCAAGGCAGTCAAGCCAAAGATCTGACCTTGGCTCTTCATGTGTTCAACATATCTATTGCTCAAAGTAGCGTCCTTGCGCAGAAGGTTTTAGGTTCATTTGTCCTCTATCTTTGTACTGCAGGTATGGCTTTTCACATTCCACAGAATAACTCCTCTGTGAGAAAATGCATTTTTGGCCCTGTAGGAGTTGGCAAAACTAGTCCCATTGGAGTACATTTCACAATTTATACATAAATCTCTAACATTTCGACAATTTAGTCAAATAGTCCCCGAACTGCCAAAACTACAAACTTCATGAGAAAATGTATTATTCATATTAGCGATCAGGTCTAGTGGTGGTGACATGACAAATTTGTTTTTAGAAGGCCAACAATGTGGTTTAATGGACAATGTTAGTTATCAATTTTTTTCATTTGTAATTCCTAAAAGTGCATCTTTTAGCATTTTTTTGAATTCAATGTAATTGACATGTCACTTTGATCTCCAATTTTCTACTGTATTTTGCAATTTCGTGGTGGTTCCAGACTAAATTCTCAGATATTCGAGAAATAGATCTAAAATGTGGAAAGCAATTCAAACTTACAATTGGACTAGTTTTTCCAACCTCCTATACTTTCACAACCAAAAATGCGTTTTCCTAACTCCAATTATGATGAAGAGTGTTTCAACATACATCCTTGGCATTTTCAAAATATCCTGGTTAGGGGTTTTATCTGATGTCTGCAGGTTATGTGCTTTCTGCTTTAAAATTGCTTCAGAGTCACACGAATTATATTGCATCCCTGGACTCCCATCTCACAGTATTGAGATTTTTAACTGATGCCGGAGAGGATTCATTGGCTCTGGAACACTTGAAGTTGGTTAAAGACAATTCTCCTTTCATGTTACAAGCTCTTAAGAATGAGATTTTATCTTTATCAAGACCAAATTCAATTATGGAATTGCTTAAAGAGGTGGAGAAATCAGTCTAGTTTAACACTCGTAAAAGTATAGATCCCAGGGGAAAATGTTGGACGTTCAACTTTCTGTGATTTGGGGCTTTGAATTTTGAGAAAAAATAATGATCAAACTGGTGAGGCTATGCACTATGGTTGAAGACAGCCTATTAGTGCACAATGAAGTTATAAGGGAATTAGATTAATTCCGTGATATATGGAATTTTATCAATTCAGGACCCGGAAGATAGATTAATTATCAATTCAGGACCCGGAAGATGAAATGCATCGGTATAGGACCCGAATGATGAAAAACTATCAATTTAGGACCTAACATTTCATAGGTTTTGATTTGTTTAATTTTTTATTAATTCCATTACTAATTTTTTAGTAAACGTTTCTTCACAAAAGTTTATAAGTTTAATAAAACTAAATAATATTTAAAATTTAAAAATAAAAATAATAATAAATTTTATGACAAGTTAGGTCCTAGATTGATAGTTTTCAATCATTCAGGTCCTAAATTGATAATTAATAAAAGTTTTGTGAAGAAAAGTTTACTAAAAATTAGTAATGGAATTAATAAAAAATTAAACAAATCAAAACCTATGAAATGTTAGGTCCTAAATTGATAGTTTTTCATCATTCGGGTCCTATACCGATACGTTTCATCTTCCGGGTCCTGAATTGATAATTAATCTATCTTTCGGGTCCTGAATTGATAAAATTCCTAATATCACGGAATTTTATCAATTCAGGACCCGAAAGATAGATGAATTATCACTCCGGGACTTGAAAGATGAAATGCTTGAATGATTGAAAACTATCAATCTAGGATATGTAGTATTTTTGCCAATTTTTCCTACTCATTATTTTCTTTTTTGATCTATTACCTTATCTTTTCATGTTGTGATTATATTGCATTAGAATTAATGAATTATAGACATGGAGAATCTGCCTGTTACTTAATGATGATTCAATACATTTTTCCATAGTGAGTTTCCCCCATCAGTGGATCACAATCACCCATTTGGGAATGATCAGGACTGTGAGTTTTAGGCCAGCTTGTACAGCATTTTTGTTAATGTACACTAGTCTTAAACTGATCAAGATCCACACTTAGTACCTTGCTCTTTCTCCATTTGACCTTCTCTCCGTTATGTCTCTTCTTCATATATCCATCCACAGTCCGCACACAATAGTGAAGAGACTGTCCATTGCTAAGCTTCAACCTTTGGAATAAAATCTGCCTCACTAAGCTCTATTTCCATCCACTTCTTCATTGTGACTTGTACACATCTCACCATCTCTGTTCTATCTTATAAATCCACCTCACAACCATTGACAGAAGAAATCTTAGGTTTTCATAATGGAAAATGAAAATGGATGGATGGCCTACTAATAAACAATCTGTTATTATTCCTAATTCATTCATAGTTCTAATTTCTAAATAAGGTGAGAAATGGGGGATACAATCTGATTTCAGGAGCTAAATAATATTTAATTATAGAAAGTGAAAGCAGTAGTGCACTACCCCTCCTTAATCACATTGTTCTCTGCTGGGAAAAGGAAGAAGTCTGAATCAGCTCTTCAAGAAAAAACGCTTACTAGGCCGGAGGGGACGATGACTTCAGTGATTATTCTGTATCCTTGTACAATGGTATATAATAATACAATGAAGTGTATGTCGAATAATCCATAGTGACAACTATTCTATTTTTGCTTCTGCATTTTTATGTTTTTTATTGTTTGTTATAGCTGCGCTATAGAAATTCTGATATCAGTAAGTGTTCCATTTTCTATTTCTGTAAAAAAAAAATGGCAAGGTTCTCTGCATTGAGATATTGCGAGATATACTTGGCATTTCCTTTATAAAAGTTTAAAGAAGCTATGATCTTGATAAAGCAGTAGATCTGAGATATGGGTGCAAATTGAGGAGGAAAACCTGCAATGGCCAAGTTTGAGAGTACTGGGTAAGGGATCATGCAGTGTCAACCGAGATAGATGGACCATATAAAATTGAAGAGTAAACATGTATGTTTGTTCGAGTTCATGAAATTAATTGTTCATTGTTTTGTTTTTAAATTGAGATTGTTATGAAATAAGGCTTGGATGTTGTTGTTGTTGAGATTCACATGAAAATCACTTGCTTTAGGACATGTAATTCAATAGCAGTGATTTCTCCTTTGCAATGAAAGTAAACATTCTGGTTGCAGCTCTTCTGGTTTTTCTAGTGGCCTTCGTCATCATCATTTTCATTTACCCCAGTACCGCAAAGGCTCCCACCTACGGTGGGGTAAGGGGGGGTCGGATGTACGCAGTCTTACCCCTATATTAAAGCACATAGAGACTGTTTCCGGATGACCCATAGTGAAAAACGCATCCAAAATTGCATGGACTGACTGCTACTTCATAACAAAGAAGTGCAAACAGTTTAGTGAGTCATTTTGCTTTATTTCATCATATTCTCAAGCCAAAAAATAATGAATCTTTGGCTCCATTGCAAATGGTGTAAATTCTAGTGGCCTTGGTCCTATTACAAAAATAAAATGAAATCATTTCAAAGAGGTGGACATATTTTTGTGTGGTAATCTCAGTAAAGCTTTTAATATTATTCTTAAGGTTCCAACACGCCTAACATATTTTTTTTTAGCTTAGGGCCCTAGTTATTTTTCCTGGAAGGGTCAATGAAAGTATGAAACGATTTAAAGGATGTCTGGTGTTAAAAAGTTGTACCAGGAAGGGTCAAACCGTTGCTTTCTGACTTCCCATACCCTTTTGCTGTTTTTTTTTGTTCCACCGCCCTCTGTCATATGCATTAGAGTCAACAGATTTTTTATTTTGTATTTTTGTTCTGTTAGGCTAACCGCAACCCCGTCCGTCAATAAATCTAATCTCACACCATTGTATACGTATTCACTCAGTCAATTCAGGTTTTCTCCGCAACCCAACACCGTCAATATATTCATTCAGCACATATTTTTTTAACTAAATCCATAATTCCTTATATTTCTTTATCACACGCCGTTTATGTGACAATTTTATTTTTACCAATAATTATGATTTAAAAAGTCAAATATTTTGATATAATAATAAAAAAATTTAGATTTTAATTTTTTTTGTTACATCAGACCTATAGCTTAAAAACATAACCAAAAAGTGTAAAAAGATTATCAACAAGATATTGATTTTAACATTTGGATCTACTTAAGAATAATTTCGAGTCTAAAGATCTCCATCAGATGAAACTTTGTATAATTTATTAACTTTATATATGTGATATTGGTGTCATATGAAAGATAATAAAAAATTATAAATTCTGATATATTATTTATAAAAATTGGATCATTAATAAAAAAGATATATCATTTTTTAAAAATAAGGAGATTTTTAGTTTTCATGGAGCCTACTTTCTTTTCTTCCCTGGCACAACAAACGTACCTCTTTTTCTCTCCGCGGGAGTCGATCCACCATCTAAATCCCCACTCCCAAGGGTTTCCCCAATCCACTACAAGACCCTCCTATACTAATTTTGGTGTGGGTTGCAGTTCAATTTGGGGTGAAATCCTCAAATATGGGTTTCCACCCCTTAGCATTGCGGACAGCCTTAGGATGAGAAAATTTCGTAATGAATTTTTGCTTTGGTTGAAAAGAGTTATATGTTCAAAATACAGAATTGGATTTTAAAATAAAACAACATTGAAGAGCTGGTTCAGCTGGCCTGGATTGGCTTATTCTAGCACTGTCAGCTCACCCACCAACAGTTGTGGATTATGCTAAAGGGGGTGAATACACCGATCAAGTTAGTTTTATTTATATAATTATATTATTCTTTTGGGTTATTTCAGTTTATAGTTGTTAACTCATTTTAGTCGTATTGGAACAGCACCCAGTAACCGTAAACTCATTTTTTGTACGGATTGTTTTTCTTTTTTAAGATTAAACTCATAAGCTATTTATAAATATTTCTTGAATTCCAAGGTGTAACCATTACCCAAAAAGATAGCAAAGGAAGCACATTACAGTGCATATATGAGATATCTCAAATTCTATATTTTGTTGACAATGTGTTACTTACAATTGAAGAGCTACTTGAATAGGCTCCTAAGTTTCTTGGGTGTTTATTCGCGACTGATTGAAAATGTCTCCACATTATTCTTTTGTTCTTGAGTAGTTAGGAAAGCAAAAAAAATTAACCGGCCCGAGGCCCGGCCCGAACTGGACCCGGTGGAAACCCGGGCCGGTCCTGGGCCTTCCCCCAACCATAAAAAGTCCGGCCGGGCCTAGGCCCGACCTGGACCCGACCCGGCCCGAGGCCATGCCTAGGTGAAGGCGTGGGTTGGAGTGTCCTTGAAGCCAAGTAGGGAAAATGTCATTGAACTGTTACAAACATAGAAGTTGCGGACATTGTTGGTGTGAAGTGAAGGAATTTTAAAATGAATAAACCACAAATTGGCATGTGAGCAGTGACGGATCTAGGATTTTGAGTCAAGGGGGGCGAAAATTTTCATTGATGTAGAGAGTGTAATTTTTTTCGCTAGTTTTGCGGGGCGAATTTTTTTCGTAGTGTAGCGGGGCAATTTTTTTTTATAGTGTAGAACTTTTTTTTTTTTTTGGCGTGAATCATTCTTTTTTATTAAGAGAGCAATGAGTACAAGAGAGGGGGACTAGACCGAAACCTCTCATACAGAAACCGAACTAGTAAAAGCATCGAAAAGAAGGAAACCCAAATAAATCACTGAAATAAGCATTACGGGCCAGGAGAGGGAGATCTTTTGGGTTTTTAAAAATTTGGATTTGGGCCATTGCAGATTTAGCCAAAAAATTAGCAACCCGGTTTCCTTCTCTAAGGACATGTCTGAACCAAATTTTGTGTCTGATTTCAATCAGCCTCATTTCCTGAAAGATCGTCTTCCACCGACCGATATTCACCTGAGGCAACATGGATAAAACGATAGCAGCATCCATCTCTAGCTCAAAATCAGAGAACCCAGCTTCAATTGCCCACCTGACCGCCTGAATCATCGCCACGATCTCTGCTTCCAAGCTCGAAGAGGCTGCGATGGGAAAGTTGACAGCAGCAACAAGGTCGCCGCTTGATTTTCTCAAAATCGCGCCTCCCCCAGATTTAGTTGGTAAGTACGAAGCATCAACATTCAACTTGAGATTTATATCAGGTTTGTGCCATTTGATTGCTCTAATTTGATATCCAATAGCTCTAAAATCCTCGGGGATTAATTTTTCCTCAAATAAAACTGCTCCTACAGAGCAGACCTTAATCCGAGTGAAGCTAGAAGCCCAGGCCTGAGTAAAATTCTTGATTTGGCATATGATATTTTCTGTAGAAAGCGTTATCTTCTGATTCCCCCAAATGATCTTTGTGTAATTAGTCCACACAACCCAACTTATAATTCCAGGCATATTGTGCCTGAAAATGTCATCCATCGTTTTAGAGCCAGCCTTAGGCCACCAGGAGATGTAAGTTTGTCTAACAGAACACTCAACATTTATCCTAGGAACTCCAAGAATTCCCATAAAGTAGGCCTAAACCGGATACACCACCTCACAGCTAAATAGAAGATGATTGAGGGAGTCTTCATGCTTACAACACAAAGGACAAATAGATGGGTTCAAAACCTGTTGAAATCTGGTCAGTCTATCAGTAATAGGAAGAATTCCATGAAGAACCTTCCATTGAAAAAGCTTAACTTTCAATGATTGCTTAGGATGCCAAACATGTTGGAAAGAAAACATGCTTGGATTATCATCAATAAGAGTATTGTAGGCAGATTTCAAAGTAAAAATACCATCAACTTCAGGCTGCCAGAAAATACCGCCTTCCTGATCAAAATCACAATTGGAGAGAGCAAAAGAATTAATAGAACAAATTCTTCTCCAAATGGGGGAGTCAGTGATTTTAGAAACCATATTAGATCCTCTAGGGTATCTTGCATTGATGAATTTATTCCATAAGGTTGTTCCAGTTTTTCCACCATAATTTAACAGAGAAGGCTTTCTCTAATAGAGATAAAGACCTTAGGCCGAGACCCCCTTCCCCAGTAGGTTTACAAAGTTTAGACCACCCTAACCAGTGGTAGTTGTCCCTATCATTGGAGGAACCCCAAAAGAAGTTGCTCATTTTCTTTTCAAGAATGGTAATGACTTTCCTTGGGATAGTGTCGGCTGCAAGAATGTGTAATGGGATAGCACTCAAGACATGTTTAATCAAAACGAGTCTTCCTCCCTGAGTTAAATTTTTGCACTTCCATGGAGTGAGTTTGGCATCAAACTGTCTAATGATATTATCACAGTAATGATATCTATTAATGCATTTATGTAATTTAACTCCCAGGTACCTCATAGGCAAGAAGGAGGATTGCATGCCAAGGATATCTTGCATACCTTTGAGTCTCACCCTGGCAGATTTGGCAGCTATGAAGGAGCTTTTTTGCAAGTTAACTGCTTGGCCCGAGGCAGTCTGGTAAGCCCCAATAAACTCTGAGAAATTCTTTAAGGATCTTGACTCCCCATTAAGGAAAATCAAAATATCATCTGCATATCCAAGATGAGAAACAGGGAATCCAACCTTTCCCATCCAAAAAGGCTTGATAAGTCCATTTTCCATTTGTTTGTTTAATCCCCAGGATAAACCTTCTGCAGCCAAAATGAAAAGATATGGAGACAAGGGGTCACCCTGTTTGACCCCTCTCCGGGGCTTGAAAAAACCTTGAGGAACCCCATTAATTAATATGGATAGATATGTTGCTTGCAGATTATTCAGCACCATAGTAATGAAATGCGCAGCAAAACCAAATCTTTCCATGACTTCTTTAAGAAATTTCCATGACAGCCTATCAAATGCCTTTGCCATGTCTAGTTTAATGATAAAATTAGAGCCCCTGACTTTCTTTTCAAGAGAGTGAATTATCCCTTGTGCAATAAGAACTTGCTTAGAGATATCCCTATTCATCATGAAACCTGACTGTTCTTCTGAGATCAGCTTAGAGAGAATACATGCAAGTCTGGAAGTAACAACTTTGGTGCAAACTTTATTGATAAAATTGGACAGACAAATAGGCCTATAATCAGCAAAAGAATCAGGATTGTCAATTTTAGGAATTAAAGCAATAAGACTACTTGCCATTCCCTTAGGGACAGGGAATCCCATATGAAACTCCTGCACAGCTTTGACCACATCTGGACCCACTATGTCCCAG